GAGGCGGGCGTCTAACGGAGATGGTGGTGGTTAAGGTGCAAGAAGCGGCGCTTGAGGCGCGTCGGAGACTCTTTTTAATACACTACTATCCGCTCATCCAGTTTGACTCGTACACCTCTCAAGAGTCCAGCACTAATCTATGACTTACCGCAGAACTCGTAAGAGACGGCGTGTAGATGCATTCCCAGAAGACGAACAGTCCGAAAATATTGAGCCTACTGAAGCTGGCGTCGAAGCGGATACCAAGCAAAGCGAGATGGGTGAGCATGAAGATGGTAATATCGAAAACATTCCTGCGAATGGAGAGGAAGATGAAACAACTCAAGCCGAGGAGGAAGCTGCAGCGAACGAGAGCCCAGAGCCGGTGAAGGAGCAGGAGATATGGGATGGTTTCAAAGAGGAGAATTACGAGAGTGAGCTCGCAGGTCAACATTCTCCCTGATAACCAACAGTTGAACACAAATAGTTTTGGAGCAGTTGCCCTTGTCACTACATCGCTCGTTCACGCTGATGCTGGAACTGGACCAGCAAGTGCATTGTGCGTACGCCCTTATTTCCGATCCATACATCTTACGAAGGCGATTTGAGCAGCACACGAAAGCATCCTGCTACTCAGCCTCAAGAAGTATATTATTCTTCGCAAAGCACTAGTTGAAAGATTTGAAGCTGTCAATGGAGATGGAACCAATGAGGTTGTTGAGCGAGGCACAAGCGCGCGGGATACATTATTCCAGAGCGCGTCGGAAAACCTATCACCTGCATCCGTTATATCAGGGGAGGAAACTTCCAGACAGTCTTCCGCTCGTCCCTCACCCGAGCTCCACAAATTGCCGGGACCTTCGAGACAGCTACTCACACTCATTGCCCAGTCATCCGAAGAGATTGTCCGCGCTACCAATGAGAAGGTCAACGTCGCCCTGTTCGCTTATAATTTGGTGCGTAGATGTTCTCTTGTGCTGAGGCTCATGCTCAGACATGTCTTCAGGTGGACAGATACATTCGTGATCTTGACCGCGCAATTAAGGAGCAGGAAACATCAATCTCTCTTGGTCTTCGACCTGGCACTCACCCTGCATCCATCATTTTACCTGAAGTAGTTGTCCCAACTGGCATACGCCCACACCGTCCGCCACCCAGTCCGCTATTATTGCCGACTACAATTGAAGAAATGCCCTCGCCAGCTGAAATCGAGCCCTCGGACACAGGTGAGGTGACGTTAGGAGTCGTTTCGACAGAAACGCCCACCACTGGTCAAGATGGGACTCCAGTTCGTCCTAGAAGGAGAAGAGTGGCGAAATGGTCAAGGAAGAAAAAGAGCGTTGTTAAGCCTCCCGGGGACGAGGACGCCGATATGCCTGCAGCATCGTCTGGACTGACACTGACCGTACCTCCTCTGGCGTCAGTGGCTCTCAACGGCGGCGACATGCCCATTGACCCAAACGAACCCCGTTATTGCTATTGCAATCAAGTCTCCTACGGAGAGGTGTGTATAAATCTCCAGTAGCTGTGAACACCAGTACTGAGTATGTCTTGGTAGATGATTGCCTGTGACAGGGACGGATGTGAACGCGAATGGGCAAGTTTTCGCCCATCTTTAAATAAGATGTACCTAATTGTCGATCTCCGACTCAGTTCCATCTTGGCTGTGTGGGGTTGATGCAGGCTCCCAGTACAAAAGCCAAGTGGTATTGTCAAGATTGTGTTGAAATTGTAGCGGCTACTCGGAAGAAACACTGAATCGCACACCCTTCTTGAAGGGCTAAGGTGTCCCTCCAAACTTGGCTCAATATTATTATGACTTGTATGTATATATTCCTGCACTGTATAACCTTATACATTAGTTGCGCAATGTACTGCTCATTATACTACACTCGTGTACTTGTGACTTGCATGCCTAGTTTATTAGCTAACGTCTCCATGTAAACTTCTGTTACGTGAATCAGCCTTAGTAACGTAGTGTTTGTGCGACAGAGACTTTACCGGTTTCATGCCTTAGCCTCCAGTACTCGGTCAAAAGTTCATTCAGCTCCGCTTGATTCTTTTTCAGATGGTCCGCCATCTGCATATTTGTGAGATACTTGAACATTGAGTTCATCAAATCATCTGCACATACCTTCCGTTCAATCTCATCCGCTTCCGCTCGCAATTCCTCTACTTGCTTATCATTGTCCCGGCGCTCTACAGCCATTTCCTCGTATTCGCGCTGGAGTCGCTCAATCGTTTGTTGGCTCGCTAGCCGCTTGTCTTCGGCATGTCGTTGCGCCCTTTCGAGTTTCTCTTGCGCGTTGGACAATTGCTTATAGACCCTCTAGATGATCATGGGTTTGAGACCTGCCGTGAGGAGAAGCTATCTATACTCATACTTCGCGCTTCATCTGGAGCTCATTTCGTTCGCCTTTCTTCTGGTCAAGCTGATCTCTTAAATCGGTCAACTCCTTCTGGGAAGCGTCCAGGGCATTTGTCTCCTTTTCAATGACTTGCAACTGCTCGACACACGAGCGCACGTCCTACGGTATAGAACTCAATGTCGCATTCAGTCATGGGAGACAACGTAGACACTAGCCTTCTCGATGTTAAGCAAGGCAGCGATTTTCGTCTGTAGGTCGCGGATCTTGGTCTCGTGTGTGGCCACCGTTCTCTTGTCCTCTGTAGCCGTGGTACCCATGGTGACAATTTTGCGTTTAATCCGTTCGGGAGACTGTACAATGCGCGAACGCGTCCGGCTTACTGCGTCCGATATCAAGGCACTCTCTTTGTTTACATCTTCCTAAACACATGTATGGTTTGGACACACTTTACTGTATTTGAAACGAAAAGTGCCTACTTTACTCTGGAGGATAGCCTCGATATCCTGCCTCAAAGATTCGAGGTCTTTGAGGAGAGACAATTGTGTTTCCTTGTACTTTACGAGCTGCTCAGTCATCGAAGTATTTTCTTGTCGGAGTACTTCGCATTTGGGCTCATCTTCTGCGCGTTTTTCCCTACGCATATTTTAGCGAGTGATCAGACTATTGAAGTATGGAATTCGGACTTGATTGCATTCACCCTCTGGTGAACTTCAATTACTTCTGCAGCTACCTTGTTGCGCTCGTCAATGACATTTGCAGACTTTTCACGAAGTCCAGTGATAAAGCTTTCGCATTGCTCTGAGAACTTCACAAAATTGATGAATGCGGAGAATAGAGAACGTGTCCGTTCTGGTTCAGGGAAATAGAGGTCCTTCGCGCTGAAGTCCGCGCATTGGGCCGCTGCCGCAAAGCGTTGTCTGAGGAAGATGAGCAAAGGGAGATGGCTTGTAGCGCCAGGTGCTTACAAATGATATAGTAAGAGGTTCTGCGACAATGCATCTGTATATAGGTCCTTGTGGGCTCTTAGCATACAATCTCGATGATTGCATTATGTCACATACAGAATTATCGGAGAAAGCCAGCGCTGCTTCTGCTGGAGATTGCAGTACACTTGTGTTGATTCCGGTAACTTGCTCCAGACATGCACTATAAATGCCCAGTACGAACTCAGGCGATGGTCGGGCCACATCTTCGTGGCTGATGGTATAGCCCCAGCCGTTGAACGCGTCGACGATCTCCGGGACAGTCATAGAGGGAAACCAGAACTGCCCAGCCATGGTGGACACGGCCGACGGGGGAAGCAGAAGACGAGCATCGCGCTGTTGTGGCGCGCTGTCCCAAAGAGGCGGCAGTCCTTCGGGGAAATGCGAAGACGCGTCGGTCACATGCACGACGCGACCTGCAGCGCGAAGCACGCTCGCGCTTCCGCCCTTACCCAGACAAGTCCTCCTAAGAGCCAATGAATCCTGTCATCTGCCCTGCTCGATAATAAATCGCCTCAGTCGCAGAGTCTGCTGCTGCTGAATTTTCCCGAATATGTCTGGCCCCAGGAACAACCTAGAAGATCTGAGGCTGAGACGTGTCAACGGGGCGACGGCACCACAAAGTCCAGCTAATCGCAATGTTCACGACCAGCAAAAGGTAGGTCTTTGAGATACGCAATTATTATTGTCATTGTCAATGAGTTCACTTTCAATGAAAGGCTTCCAAATTCAAGCCTTCCACATCGTTCAACACACCAGAGCAGGTCACGAGTAAGTTAATGATTTGTTGCCGTCTGACAGTTTCTGACCGGTATATGCCCAGACCGGAAATTGAAGAACCCACTCCCCTCTTTTTCGACACCTGGATTTGGAAAGAGTAAACCTCTTCCACTTCATTCGACATTTCCTGCGGACAACACTATCGTTGTCGACGTCTCTTCGGCTGAATCCAGTCCGACTGGGCCGTCCGTGACAAGGGTACCCGCCAAGAGATTGTCCTCCGATTTTCCTGTGGATTTTGAGATGATTGGTAGTGCAAAACGCGTCAAGATAGACGAGAAGTTGGACAAAGAGAATGTCTTCGCATCAAGTCCCAAGGACAAAGGCAAAGACAAGGACCATCCACCAACTCTCGGAACTCGCGGTAACGCAGGCATACGATTGGATCACCTTTCCTACGAAACCCAGAAAGATTCCATTCTCACATCTCCACTCAATATAGTACAGTCATACCCGCTGAATTGGTCGGACCTGTTGTTGGTAAGGCTTCCCGATCACCTTGATTACTCCATGGTTAATCAAAAATGAAATCCCAAGAAATCTGAGGACGAGCTCAATATGGCATTAAATAGTAATATCACGAGACGCAACGAGATTTCTGAATGGATCAGACAGGCCAGCTCCGGACCCAATTCTGGTCACGATGTTGGCATGTTACTGGATTTCGAGTGAGTTCTTGCATTGCACGCAGCTTCGTGGAGCGCTCCGACCAAAATTATTGTCTATACTCCAGTAAGATTCTTGAGTATCGCATCAAGATTATCATGGCCATCCGCACGTCCTTGAGCAAAGGCGAGCGGCCAATAATACCCGATCCAGCATGGTTGCCTACACCGCCTTCGCATAACCCATATAGCGTGAAGCCCAGGTCGTCATTGTACTTTTCGGCTCAAGAACCGGTCAAGACATCGACGGAAGTCGTCGCTAGTACTTCAAGATCTAAAGTGGTATATGATGACACTAATGACTATCCGCGGGCAATGTCTCTACCAGATGATGGATCGATGCAAATGGTCGCTGCACATGGGGCAACCGCAAAGGGACCCTCATTACCTGTGCCTCGCTCTGTGACGCTGTCGCTTTCGCCAGAGCCCGCCGTTGTGCATAACAGCAATTTGACGAAATCGATATATTACCCGGAGGTCTTGGATAAGCTTCAACGGTGCTTTGGCCTTACATCCTTCCGGAAAAATCAACTTGAGACTATCATTGCAACTATGACTGGACGTGATACACTTGTTCTTATGCCCACTGGTGGTGGCAAGAGTCTCTGTTACCAACTTCCTGCGATCTGCACATCTGGGGTGACACGAGGCGTTACGGTTGTTATAAGCCCTCTTCTGGCGCTCATGCAGGATCAGGTCGAACAGCTGAATCGCAAGGGTATTGATGTGCTATACTTTAATTCTGATCAAGACAGAGAGGAATCCGCGCGAGTAGCATCTCATCTGCGCGCATACGGTACGGGAAACAAGCCCTTGATTGTTTATGCAACGCCGGAGAAGTTGCAACATAGCGGGGAATTTTTGTCGATTTTGAAAGGATTGTACTCAAAAGGCTTGTTGGCGCGATTTCCAATAGATGAAGCTCATTGTATTGTCAAATGGGGTAGAGACTTTCGTGAAGCGGTGAGTGTAATGTGCTCACGCTCGAGTCGCTCGTCATGATGTGATGTCCTTCCCAGTATAAGCTCCTTGGACGATTGCGCGATGAATTCCCCAAGATTCCTATAATGGCTCTCACCGCAACGGCGACTGAGCAGGTTAAAACTGATATCATTCGTCTCCTCAAGATTAAGGACTGCGAGATTCTCTGGCAATCAATGAATCGACAGAACCTGTTTTATGAAATCCGATCAAAGAAGGGCTACATCAAGGATATGGTGGATTTTATTGTCACGCAACACTCGAATGAGACTGGTATCATCTATTGTCAAAGTCGCAAATCGTGTGAAGAACTGGCCAAGACCTTACGCGACCAATATCGTTTAGATGCTTTGCATTATCATGCTGGAATGATATCAGCAGACCGGAAAGACGTTCAAGCACGCTGGCAAACCGGCAGATGCAAGATTATCGTCGCGACGGTAGTATAAATATGTGTTTTCTCAGTCAAAGTACTAATTGTCATGTTACAGGTAGCCTTTGGAATGGGTGTAGATAAGCCTGACGGTGAGCTAGTGTTATATCGACGGCCTAGTGCTCACATGCTCCGCAGTGCGATTCGTGATTCATCGCGATCTTCCGAACGACCTCGATGGGTGCGTATACAAAGACCGTCTCCATGTTCAATAACTAACGGATTATCAGATATTACCAGGAGACAGGACGCGCGGGGAGAGATGGGAAACCTGCCGATTGTCTCTTATGTGAGTATATTTAGCTGGGATTTAAGGGGTGTATCACGCATCGCTGTCCACCTTACATTATCTAGATTACTCCTATGGCGATGCTATCAGCCGGCGAAGACAAATCAGGGATAATAGGGACACCAATCATCAAGAGAAATCGCACCAGGAAGAAGAATTACAGCGGGTTGTGCAGTATTGTCAGAACGACGTCGACTGCCGTCGGACGCAAGTGCTCGCCTATTACAGCGAGCAATTTGATCATCGGAAGTGTCACCTTGGCTGCGATAACTGCAGCAACCCACAGGGTGTAGAACGGCACGATGTCACGACCTTGGCGGTGCAATTCATCCAATTCGCTCAAGCCATCGTAGCTGGTGGGGAAAGGGTCACACGGAATCAGTTCCTCGATGCTGTCCGTGGTAGCACCAACAAAGCGATCAAGGACAAAAACCTGCACCAGCACCCTCATTTCGCATGCGGCAAGGGTACATCTCGTGAATGTGCTGAACGACTGGTTGATCGCCTAGATGCCATGGGCATTTTTGACTCGGTGACTGTTCAAAATGGTGAATGGGGATCGTCTTATCTGCGGGTATGTCTACATTGAACTGAGTATGTAATTGGCTCAAGTATGCTTCGTTAGGTCACAGCCAAAGGAGACCACTTCATCTCAAGAGGAGAACGGCTGACCATCGAGATGCGAGCGGGAACCAGCAAGCGGCCCACCACCAATGCACTACAACGTTCGAAACGGCCATCCTCTAATGTGACGACCGCAGCCAAGTCTGCGAATAAGCCTCCGCAAATCCCCGACGATCCCATAGTATCCTCTGGAGATGACGAGGAAGATTTCTGGCAATCTGACGACGACATTCAATTCGTACCGAGCCCCAAGAAGGTCGCCGCCCGTCGGCCTCTCCCGGTGATGGACGAAGAGTTCGAGATCGAATTCTCCGACAAGTCGGACGACGCCAACTTGCGCGCACATAAGCGGGAGCTCGAACGGCTACGCCAGCAGGTGAATGGAATAAGTGAATATTCCTTTCTTTGGCTTATGAGTCTTCTGCCTAGATAGCTGATGAGGTAGGAGAGCTGAATCCAGAAGAAATCGTTGACAGCGGCTTGCTAGAATATTTGAGCCTCGTTGATATTGCAGGTGAGGTGTGCCTGACAATCTCGTTACGTCGATTACCTGATAGTACGTCTGACAGACCTCAACGATTTCAACAAAGCTCTCATTGAATTCGAAGTTGATCCGCAAGGTCCCTTTAAGCTGTATTCCATGAGATTCCTCGATTGTTGTGTAAAGAAACATGTCCATAGACGGGGTTCCAAGGCGTAAGTACAGCTATCGGTGCTAAAATAAGCCAATGTCTCATGTGATGCATCTCAGAACGAAAGCAAAATCCGCGGCTTCCATAGGCGAATTACACGATAAATTTGATTATCAGCGGACAAAGCCACCTTCGACAAAGCGACCGGGACGATAGCTGTTCAGTATGTTTATCATTATGTGCATGTACCTGTCGCTTCATTACACTAGTGATGTCTATGTCTACATATTGTAAATCTCCACCATCTTGGTATATTGTAGATCTGTGTAAGTTAGAGCATAGTTGATGCATTTCTAAAGTAGAATCCCATGCAATACATTACCACCACCTGACTCCTGGACGTGAACCCCACTGCCGGTATGAATGATGACGATAAACTGCTCCAGACAAGTCCGCAAACAAATAGATCACGCCTCCTCCCACCTCATTGTGCTGTACCAAGCATGGTCTCCGGGATCTTCAGCAACGCTTGCCATCGACATATGCTGCTCATTCGTCATCCATGCCGAGGTCCCGAACAGTCGTCCTGTCAGCTCCAACAGCTCCTCGAGAGTGTCGACCATGTGTCTCAGCACCTCCTGCTCGGCGAACGCATAAACGAGAGAAAGGCCCATAGCATTCACATTCGCTTCGCGAGCGTTACGAATGCTTTGCTGTATGTGTTCCTCCAGGTTATCTAAGGCGTGTCGTGGAGACGGTAAAAACTGGGGCAGCGACTCGCGAGCGCGGAACGCGTGCTGACATGCATACAACGTGATACACACGCATGAGAGCTATGAGTATAGTAAGGTGAGCTAGCTGTCACGGTCGCTAGATGGCAATGGACTTACAAATTCATGCCGTTCATTATATACGTTTGAAACCGTTTCCCGACGAGGAATGTTCTCCCTGATCTTCCGCAACCCCGTCATCCCGTCAAGGAGCCTCTGCATTAACGTGACAATTCTGCGATATCGTGCAAGCGGTTTCTGAGTAGGATGTACAAAGTCAAGTAACATTTGTACGGGTACAAGCGATGGACTTACAGGAAGAAGACTAATTTCGTCGTGCATTGTTGTGATGAGGGCTGAAAGACGATGCAGCTGGCTCCGAATGTGCAACTCAAGCTTCAAAATTCTCTTTCTTTGAGGGTGTATGTAGCACGGCTGCTTTCGAAAGATGTCGCTGCAGTTTTGACCGTCAATAATGGCACTCTAATAGGATGAGATGTCCCGAAGACTAACTTTCCGAGTGCCATATATAGTGCGCTCATTAAACCAAGGGTACTGCTGGTTTCGGACAGAAAAAGGACCTGAAATGATTGCATGGTAAGCGATCTTGGAGATTCATGACAGCCCAAGGGGTTGATAGTTACCCGACAATGTCGAGGAAAGACGACGCTATTCATGAGCAGCGCCCCAACAATTCCGATGGTTATCATCAAAATACGCATCGCAGCGATATCTGTAAATAATGGTTTAGTGAAACCGGAATGAAAAGCAATGTCCGCGCCCACATACCCACAACTTTAGTGGTTGTCCCAGGATTAACATACTGTGCGAAGGCTACAATAGGTAGCGCTACAGCACTGTGCCCGGCGTGAGCAATCGCTTTGTATGAGGAAAAATTGGAAGAGCTTACGCAGGCACGGCAAGCTGAGGGAGGGCTGCGCGAGTAATCAGCCAGGTAAAGGGAACGTCCGCTGCCTGTTGTATGCGATGAGCCCTAAAAGCCACTTCACGACCCAAGAGCACCTTACCGTAACCAGTATAGTGAGGCCGTATGGGTTCATACGACAAATCAGCCAAACCTTAGTAAAGTGGATTGTATTAGAATTTCAGAACGAGTGGGGCGCTGAGACTCACAATGTATGCATAAATGGCGGCAAGAGTCGTGCCGACCTGATAGATGTTCAGTGAAAGAATTTACGAGACACAAAATACAGTTCACATACCAAACGTAGGTATCCCACTCTCCAGGTTGCTCCAGTGTTTGTCTCCAAAACCCAGACGTAGCTGCGTGCGGGTGTAAGCCACTCAGTCTCAGTCAAAGCCTGTGCTGAAACATACCTGATGACCATCCATTGTCCATGCCAGAATGTGAACCATTGGTGGCCTAACAAAACTCACTTGAGCTACACGATCTTAAGCACTCTGAAAGGTAAATACTCGCCTGCTGAATTGGCCGGCATAAATGCGGGAAAGCTGAGTACGGCAACCCCAATCGCGTTCTTCATCGCATGCTTGACATGCTCCGAGTGCACCACCGTCCGATTGAGCTTGGCCAGCCATATTCGCGTGCGAATCATCCGTGGCAGCGCCCATAGGTGCGAGAACAACAGCGCCAAGATGTCCCACGGTGAACGTTTCCTCGAGGCCGGATGCTGCTTCCCCTTCTCGTCAAACGTCTCATACGTCAAGCCGCTGGGAAGCCTCCTGACGTCCGTAGTGAATCCACGCTCTGCAAGACCCTCCTTCGCCTCCGCGACCGTCAGATCAACCTCCGAGCTTGTGCCGCCCCAACTCGAAGTGGTGACCGCGGGGCGCAACTGCAGGGTAGCGTCGACATCATCGGAGATGATGTGAGCTGGAGGCACGCCAAGCCAGGCGAGGGATATACGCGGGTACCAGAGGCGCATAGTGGACTCTTCGTACTGGGTGTACATGCGATCGGCAATCTGCAAGGCTCCACGCATCTCTTGCGCCATCTACTCAGTTGCCACACACACCCAATATGAGAGCTTGAGACCGGTCCAGAGACTCAAAACTCACCTGCAGCAAGGCGATCATAATCAAACTGCCATCAAGCACCTCCTTGGGATAATACGTGTTCTGCCCGAGTGCCCGCTGCTCAAGATCCATTTCATTGAGCGTATGTTCTAGACGCTCCCTTGCCTCGTTCCGTGCCTTGACCAAAGTTTGTTCCGCCACATGAAGTGCATGCTTCGCAGGACCAGACCCCAAACGCACCAGCCCGTTAGAGGTAGCAGCGGAAGACGTGCTCTTGTTCTGGTTGAACGACAGGGAGATCAACATTTCGACAGCTTGTAATGCAGCAATAATTGCATGCCCCAGGGAGAGTGCAGGAACCTCAATGGAGGATATGAATTTTTCGTGAGACAGCAACACTGGCTGTGCCATAAAATTCCCCAAACGACGAACGGAACCTCGACGGGATGTCGCCCGACTAGAAACGGCTGTACTGGGCTTTCGCTCGGTGGCGAACATTCCCCACGAAAGCGTCCGGCGCAGATGTTCAACGACACCAATCAGAGGTCGGATCGATTTTACTATTCAAGAGCATTATTGGGTCAGAATGATAATAACCAGATGAGAGACATACAGCTTAAGCGTCCGACTCTAAGCTCAAAAGCCGCCTGTGAGTATGTCTCGTTGAGAATAATGGATCTCTGTAATAGTTGACTTTGGAGTTGCAGGATTTCCATAGAGTCCGCATTCATTTTACGCTGACCTCCTTGAATGCCCTCGACACTGACGGACAAACATCGCTGTAACAAAGCAAAGGATGCTGCCATATCGCCTGCAAAGCTGGACGAAGACCAGCGATAGGCAGTCATGACAATGAGTAACGCCGCCAAACTGAGCACTGCTGGGGCGATTGTGACATATAGGAAGTCACCCGAGTCGGACAAGACTTTCTGTAAGAAATTCAGTTTAACTAGGACAGTGCTAGGCGCATATACTTACAGAAGAATCTCCAATGTTCACTGTCAAGAGCCAGGTAGACACAAAAAGCGAGATGCGCATAGACACAGTCAGACGGACCAGCCGACTCTTCACGAACCCGGCTGCGGCGGATTGTGGAACGATGAGACGAAACGCCACTGTCAAGGACAATATGGACTCACCGCAGAAGCTGATGAAAATCAGGAAGATGGCGCAAGTTGCCCTAGATGCGGTAGAGTCATAAGGTGCCAAGGAAGCGAGAAACTTTGCCAGAGTCGAGATGGCGATAGCCAAAAGCGCTCCAATGAGATTCAGGATTGTCAGCTCAAGCTGCTGAGCGAGACTTTCCTGCACACTGAAAATGAGTGCTTGGAATGGGAGCACTAGATACGCGTACGCTCCGCCGAAGCGGGAAACAGGATGAACAACAATGGCGAGGCAGCATAGAAAGGTTGAAAGCAGCCTGGCTAACGGACGTCGTTCGAGATAGAGGCTACCGAAATGAAGAAGGGATTGGGCGACAGACTGATAGCATGCCTTGAGTTTGAGAGCCCTGGGGCCCATTGTTTGGAGGGCGGACTACCAGGAGGGGATGAAGATCCAAGAAGCGGGAAGACGGTGTCGTGAATGAAGTACATATTGTCGCACGAGCGGAAGTGAAGATCGGCCACTCATGGCGACAAAGTGGCGAGACCTCGTCCAAGCGCCGACGTCGCTTCCGCGGACAGCTTTCGTCGTCCGGCCGCGTCGCAGACTCGCAGGGTGACAACGGGCGTCTATCATGTCCTCCCGATCGCATACATACACGTCCTCTACGCCCTCTACTGTATGTAGTCTAACTGACCCGGGTCCGCACCGCAACGGCCTGGTACTATTTCTATCTCTACGACACACGCCTCGACTCCCACCTTCACCTCGTAGCCTCGCCAGCCTCGCATAAATGTCTGGCACATCGTAGAAGTCATTTCCTGCTCCGACTCGAAGCCTGTCTTCCGTTTCGCGAAAGAACATCTCGACGGTCTCCGTTCTAACCCCCTAGACCGTAGTCGTCCGACATTCCCCCGTGAGCGTCACTGCGAATGCTAGCAGTGCCATCTTCCAATCCCACTGATGAGATACACGAGGCTGCGTCATAGCTGCGGTGGGCTGGCCACACCCTTTCCAACACGAGATCAGACACACACACGCGGTGCATAAGCCGACACATGAATGACTTAGACTACACGTACAAACAAATGCGTTCCACAGAATCAATAGCCACCTCTGTCGTCGGATATCCTGTGCGAGGCCATCTGTCGTCGCTGGGTATCCTCCAGCTTTGGACAATTCGAGATGCCATGCCCAAGACCTAAGAATAGGCACATGAATCAAATCGACAACGACAACGACAACAAGCGCTGACATACCTCCACACACGGGACAGCCTTTGAGCGATCCGCCCTGCGCGGCCCGAGGATCATCGATACTGAGCAAGAACGGAGGTACTCTACCAAATAACAACAATCAGTTCTCTACACGGATGATGCGTGCTATGTGCCACATACTTCTGCCCTGCCTCCATTAACAAGTACTTCAAGTCGAGCAGCGTCTGCTCTGGCGTGTTCATATTCACGAACGTTGTCGCGATCCCCGTCTTCCCACTACGGCCCGTACGCCCGATTTGGTGCACGTAATCTTCAATCTCCTTTGGCATGGAGAAAATGATAACATGCTGGATATCGTTGAAATCCAGTCCCTTCGAGGCAACACCAGAGGCTACCATGACATCCTTGGCACCCGACTTGAACGCCTTGATCGCATATTGCCGTTCTTCCTGGGCTGATGGCACAAACGTGAGATGATCGGAAAGACCGGAACAACAGATGAGATACGCACTCTTAGATCCGTGAATCGCCACAGCCTCGACGCCTTTGAGAAGCAGGTACTCCTGGATATCTGCATTTCAAAGTGTCAGAACTTGTGATGTCGGCCAAACCATAAAGATACCACACCATCCACTTCGTTCTTGTTTTCGCTGAATATAATGACAGGCGGGGGTGTCTTCTGCAGACATTCTAGAAGATAAACCATCTTGGCCTCCTGCTTCACGTATTCCACGACCTGTAATACGTCTAGATTTGCTGCACCTGCCCGTCCGACGTTGACGAGGATAGGCTTGACCAGTGATTGTTGCGCAAAGTCTTGAATTTTTCGGGGCATTGTCGCCGAAAAGAGCAGTGTTTGCCTTTGGTGCTGAGCATATGTTAATATGAAATTACATGGCTTGAAATGACGACACAGTACCTTGAAGAAGCTCATAATATTTCGGACATCGTCTTCGAACCCCAGATCAATCATGCGATCGGCTTCATCCATGCACAAGTATTTGCAACTGTCGAACGTGAACCGTTTCTTTTCCAGCATGTCAATGAGTCGTCCAGGAGTCGCAACAACTATGTGCAGCCCTTTGTTCATCACATGGCTCTGGTCACTCATCGAGATGCCTCCTATGCATAGTAGCACGTTTAATGACGGGTATCGACCTTCCTTCGAGAGAGCGCTCGTCCAGGTGAGTACGTTCTCGTACGTTTGAGTGGCCAGCTCACGCGAGGGACACAAAATTACTCCCACGGGTCCTTCCCCGCGCACAAAGGGCAGTTTCGACTCCTCTTCAAGAGCAAGCATGATTACGGGGAGGCAAAATGCGAGTGTCTTCCCCGAACCAGTGAATGCAATGCCAATCATATCGCGACCAGCGCAACTGTGAGTGCGTGAGCGTTCGACGTCAGGAAAAGAAAAATGAACAACATACGCAGTAGGTATACCTTGGAGTTGAATAGGTGTAGGTGTGAATATGCGCTTAGATTTGAGGAACTTGACAAGGATGTCAGGTACCTTCATGTCCTAAATAACGTTGGAATAAGCATATGATGGAGCCGGGAATGAGTTCAGCATACTGTAAAATTGTCAATTGGTGGCGGGATATCTTCCCCGTCGACAAGGATGTGATACTTCTCGCGTAACAGTCGGTGCTCCTCCTCACTCCTGTCGCGTATGAATTTTGGTGGTCGCCACCTGCGAGGCAAGTTCTATACAAGGATATTGATGGAAGATAGAAGAGACATACGTTGTTTTCATAGACTCTGTGTACTGCACTCCTTTCGCCAGCTCCAGATCTGAAGCCAGCTTCTTCCGGCTTGCGATAGCGGCAAGGATTTCTGCGTCTGCCTCCTCCGCTTTCTCAGCTTCCGTCTTCTTTGCATCTTATGAACTCTGTGATTTCTGGCAACCCCATCGCAAAGCACGAATGCGCACCTTCTGCAGCCTTCTTTTCATGCACTTCCTGTGCCTCCATCAACAATGTCCGCTCTTTCCGTGCCTTCTCCCTCCGCCGCTCTTCCTCACGCTCCTCGTCTTCTCGCTCATCTTGCTCATCTTGTGGCGACCTTGACTTGTCCTTATCGACACCCCAGGAAGTGAGTTTTGCGAGTCTGGCTTGGCGGCGCTGTGCGACGGGAATGTAAGGTTCGTAGGAGTCGTCTGCATCGTCGAGCTTGTAAGCAGGAGATGGAGAGCGTTGTATTCGCCTTCGCTTCGGTGCCGACTCAGTAGGCATCTCTTTCTAGTGTTGTATAAAAGGTAAAAGTAAGCGGCTGAAGTGACTTGCAGTGAGCATTGACCGAACGACTTCAGTCCACATGAGGCTCAAAAGCGACTGAAGGAATATGTGAGTCACGTGATGTTACTGATCGAACCGGGCCGGGGTCGGCCTGACTCGGGCCAGTGGACATTCGTTCAGCCTGGAAAGAAACGATCCTCTCCTTCGCCATGTCCTCCGAATATTCAACGCTCTCTTTGATAACCATCACCCCCCTCACTCGAGGTCTGGCTAGTCTTGAAGAACGAGAAAAAGCCAGCAGATTTACCTGTGTTGAATATGGCTGAAATTGAATTCGATCCAACCACACATCCGCATCGTCGACGTATGTCTTCTCGCAACTTCACATCTGCTGTATATATTTTCTGATTGATCTCACATAGTAAACCCTCTCACAAACGAGCACGTCCTCGTATCCCCTCATCGCACGAAGCGGCCCTGGCAAGGTCAGACAGAACTGCCACAAGCTTCACAGCTCCCCGAGTACGACCCCAAGTGCTACCTCTGTCCTGGAAATGAACGCGCGGGCGGCCAGCACAACGCTGTGTACGATCACACCATGATATTTGAGAACGACTTTGCCGCGGTTCTACCCCCGCCTGGTCCGCTCGCGCCTCGCGCCCCTCATCCGCTTCTCACGACGCAGCCCGTGCAAGGCGGCTGCGACGTCCTGATCTTCCATCCACGACACGACCTGACCCTCTCCAGGCTTCCCATTCCTGATATCGAACGCGTCGTGGACGAATGGTGCACAATCTACAGGAAGCGGGGTGCCGAGGACGGTATCAAATACGTGCAGATATTCGAGGTAAGGCCGAGATGCTGACTGCGCGATCGGTGTCTCACTCATCTGTTTTGACGCACAGAACAAAGGTGCTATGATGGGCTGCTCGAACCCACACCCCCACGGACAGGTCTGGTCGCTCTCGACCGTTCCGTCGCTTCCCGCTACGGAGCTGGCCAACCTGAAGCGCTACGCGCTAACCGACGTGCAGTCTTCCGGTGCACCTCGTGGTCCTTGTGATCGCCCATGTATGCTCTGCGAATATGTACATTTTGAGGTGGGAGTGGACAATGATACCGGTCGGGTGGTCGTCAAGAATGATCACTGGGTCGCCCTGGTTCCCTGGTGGGCGATATGGCCATTCGAGATTCTACGTGAGCGCACGGTTCACTCTTCCCAGCCATTGTCTATACTCACGTCTCGCGAATAATAGTACTTCCGTATGCTCGGCATGTCCCTTCCATCACGGATCTGACAGCAGTGGAAAAGACTGCGTTCGCAGACATTCTCTCACGAGTCACGAAGCGCTACGACAACCTCTTCTCCTGCTCATTTGCATATTCTATGGGTATACACCAAAGGCCCATCCCTTCTCAGGCGGAGCACTCGGACACCGATGACGAAGAGAATGTCGCACATCTTCATCTGCATTTCGCACCCCCGCTTCTGCGAAGCGCGAGTGTGCGCAAGTTCCTGGTGGGGTGAGTCTACGGCATCCTGAGCTGTACTTGGCCAGAGCGTAGCTAACGCTATTTTTAATGTGTATAGTTTTGAGCTGATGGCAGAACCGCAGCGCGACCTTACTCCGGAACAGGCTGCGCAGAGACTGCGGGCGTGCTCGGAGATGCATTATTTGGATGCTGCCACGATTTCAACTCCAGCGCGTTCGCAGAACACCTCATCTCAGGTTGCAGACGCGACCACCGGCTAGAAGATGTCATCAACCATGTCGTCACCAATTACTTGGCAGAATAGACCTGAGCAAGCAAGGGTATGTAGAGACACGTTGACCCTGTCTTGTATAGGCTCTGCGTGAAATGTACTTGTGTGTTTGCCTTAGTTGGCCTTTGGGATACGTATTAATAAATTCTCATCATGTACCATCCATCAGGTGAACAAATGTCGTTTTCCCCTTGGCTAAACCGTATGAGATCTCCACCGTCTGCGCAGCAGGGAATTTAGGTATCAGGCTATGGTGCGCGAGATTATGCATCGGAAGATATCGAAACGGCTTCATCACATTCGCCGATAATCCCAGCAATGTGGCACAATCTTCAACTGTTTAGACGTGTCTACTCGCGGCTGGTGGACTTACGATTCGATGTGCGATTTTGCTACGGTCGCTATGAACGTCCGTTCGTCTGTTCCCTCTGATCTCTTGGGTCTTGGGATGCGTATATTAATATCCCGCCATTACCCTGAACAGCATAAACGTCAAGCAAGCCGCTGTAGTCATGATGAAATATAATGTTTGGAGTTCATGTTGGAGTCGATTATGAGCAAGTCGATACAAGTTGGAGGATTCTGGTCCACAACAAATTCAAGAATGACACTCATCTGGTTTTAGCAACGCTGTAGCAATATTGAAACGAGAGTCAAAGGAGTGATTATTGTCAGTGCCCTGGCACCATATTCCTCTGAGTATCAACAA